CCTCTTAACAAAATTAAAGAAATCTAAGGAGAGTGAATATTCAGAATTTTTCTCAAAGTATAGAATCTTAGTTATTAAATGTCAGGTAAGTATATATAGAGCTCTATTTCCATTGTCAAGGTAAAATGCATATTCCTCAGTTTCTACAATGGCCTTAGTTCCATGACTAATTTTTTTTTATTTTTTACTAATTTTTTTACATTATTGTGGTTGTATGTGGTATGTATGTCCATGTAATAATAATTATTGTTTGGAAATATCTCAAGCAAGCAGAACTTCTCCATCATTATGTTTCAAAACATCTTAAATTGCATCATATCTGGTTCACTGGCCAAGACTGGTTAATCTGTTGTTAAGGTTTTTGTCTAGAATATTATAATAGACATGCTAGAATTTCCTACTGGTGTTTAAAGTTTATTTTTATAGTATTTTCACTGTTTCTCACCACATTTTAAGTGGTAATTGTAGCAATATCATCTGCTTATTAGTATAATCCACAGATGCCAAAATGAATTCTCTGACTCTAGTATTTAAATAGATACTCTACATCTTCTTTGCCTATCAACTAAATTTTTCTTCACTGTGTATTTGTATTCTTAAACTGATGTATTTTATTTAATGGTCAAAAATATAAAATTCATGATCTAATTCCCAACAAACAAAACCACATTTTTTCCAGTCAGCAGTAAGTATATTAGCAACTAAACACAAGACTTCAAAGAGTTAGGTAGATTAGACACGGTGTCATAGAAATATTGGCTATTGACTGTGATAGGAAAGTCCAAAGCCTTTCTAAGTTCTGTATATATCATTGTTTTATTCTTTTACAATTTTGTTTTAAATTAGTAAGTGAATTGTTTTCTGAGTGGAGTCTTCTGGGTTCTCTTGAGGTGTCTGGCTAGCAATGATATACCAGCCTTGGCTTATCTGTTGCTTTAATTCAAATCAAGACTAATCCAGGTACAGTGTGGTCACCACTGGTTTGAATCTATCTCTGGTTAAGTGTTTTGCCAGCAGAGTATGAGGAGGACGCTTCAGGCCTCCAGGAAAGTAGAAAGATTCAGCGGCAACAATGATAAAGAATAGAATAATTTTACCATGAAAATTAAATTAACTTTACCAGGGGCAGAAGAAGCATGGGGGGGGGGGTCCTTGACACTTCTGTGCGATAGCCCAGAGGCTCCAATACTTAGGATTTAGCTCTGTAAGTAAAGCTGTGCAATCAACAGTGAAGAGGAGAGCTAAAAGAGGAAAAAACTGGGACAGATTTTAGATTGTATCAAAATTAAAAGAAGCAAAAAATGCAAGATGTCTCCAAATAAAAGTGAAAATGTGACTTTGACATGTACTGTTACACTTTGGCAGTCGTTGCTATCAAGTTTTCAGGGCTTTTATCACAAATCAGCCTTAAAATGTTCCCTTTTCCAATCTTCAGAAAGTAGGTAAATCATAAAACCCAAAAGGATGGATCCTGGGGGGGAAAAAAAAACTGTTCCCAGAATTGGAGGAACTGATGCCACTCAAATACTTCCACATCCCTAATAACCAACTCTCTTTTAATATGATGAAGAAAAGTATAAAATCCATAGAAGATATAATCTTTACTACATAATTTTATCTAACACTTTTTTTTTCCTTTTTTGCTATATGCCTCCCCACTAGAATATAACCTTTTTGAGGGCAGAGATTTCATTGTTTTTGTTCACTCTTTATATCTAGAAACAGCATTAGGTGCAAAGCAAGACCTAAGAAAACAGTTGTTGAATAAATTAACTTGGAATTTTCAAATTCACTTTAACCCCCTTAAAATCTCAATATCTCACTCACAGTCTAATTTTCCATAAGCACACATTATTATGCCATCTTCTCATTTTCCCACTCAATGCTCAGAGGTTTTACAAGTTTTGACAGTACAGCTCACGGTTCTGTAAACTCCTCCTCTACTCATCCTATCAGATAATTTTATTTCAAAAACCATTTTCCTGACATGCCTCCAAGAGTTCCCCACATCTTTACCTACCACCCACCTGTATCTTTTCTCAGCTGTAAAGGAGACCCCTGTCAGTGTCTGTCTTTACACTTCGTACACATCAGCTGTAGCTTTTGATTCCTTGCCCTATCAGTTACTCACTTCCATTTTTGTCCCCTCCTTGTCTGTTTTCTCCTTATTTTCTGTCTATCCTCCAGTTCAAGTCTATATTGCGTGAGGATGGAGTCCTTCCTCACTCCTTTCTTTTTCCTTGCTTGTCTTAGCGTGTTTGGGCTCCTATAACAAAATGCTATAAACTCAGTGGTTTATAAAGAACGGAAATGTATTTCTCAAAATTCTAGAGGCTAGGGAATCAAAGACGAAGTCAGTGGCAGATTTCATGTCTGCTGAGAGCCTGCTTCCTGGTTTCCACATGGCCATCTTTTCGCTGCATTCCTCACAGGGTGGGAGGAACAAGGGAGCTTTCTCAGGCCTCTTTTACAAGGATACTAATTCATTCACAAAGGCTCTACCCCCATGACAATCACCCCAAAGCCCCACTTATTAATACCATCACTTTTTGGGTTAGTATTTCAAAATACAAATTTGGGAAGACACATATAGTCAGACCATAGTACTACCAAATATTTAAAACAATAATGTGGACACCACTCACTTACTATATAATTTTTATATATATGTATAATTTATATATATATATATATGTATAATTTATATAGAAAAATATAATTTATTAATATTTTGCAATTGAGCATCTCCCTAAGCCCCTATCTACTTCCATAAAACTTCCACTTTCCAAACTCACTTCTTTCAGCCTTGAATAAGTTGTCTGAAGCCATACCATGCGTAAGTTGGGGGTTAGAGACTGGTACCTTTGATAAAAATCAAGTTTTCCTTTAATATTTTCAATATATGCTAGGGGTCAGGCCAGCAATATATGCTAGGTGATGGATGATACACTGGACCAGGCACATAGCTAAGTTCATTCCCTTTACTCACTACTAATTTAACCAAAATTAATTAAAAGATGGCCTATAACGGTCGAGGGAGACGGTAATGAACACAGAGCTATCCAGTGGGGTAAATGGGCCTTTACTATTAGATCAGTGAGAGGCTCACTCTAGCAGAGTATGCATTGGGTACCACAGAGGCAAGGGGTAAGGAACTTAATTCAGTCTGGAAGGAAGGAAGAGGCAGTCACCAGGAGGAGGTGGCCTAAGACATCAATATTCAAGGATGAGTAAAAATTAGCTAGGTGAAATGTTAAGAGTGAAGGGTGAGAGATTCAGACCATTGCTTCTCTAACACCAGTGCGATCACATACACTTGAACTTCACAACCCTTCTAATCTCCTCACTCCTTCTAAGCAAATTATAAATTCCCAAAACTAGTGGAGAGATCACTCACAATGTGGTTTCAACCTGCCCTTCTAGGCATTGAAATAGTCACTACAAAATAAATTATTCATCATTTTCTAAGACCCCAAATATCCTTTCTCATTGGCTTTTTGCTTCTTGGCTTTTTGCTCACATAAAACACCCTGTCAAATATTTACCCATTTTGAAAAGATAGTTCCCAATGATTGCCTCTTTAATTACCCCTTCTCAGGCAATTATTTCTGTCCTATGATAATTTTCCTTTCAATTTAAAGAACAAATGTCTATTTTCATGAATTTTTCCCTTCCTAGCTTATGAGCACTTCATGGTAAAGAACCTTGTCTTAGCTACTTTTTGTGTCCCTCACAACCTAAAGAAACAGTGCCTTTAAAACATTAGCTTTTCAATAAATTGTGGACCAATATATAACTTGACCAATAAATTTTCCTCAGAAATACAGTTCTGGGCATTTTGTTTTAGTTAAGAATGTAGTTCAAAACTTTAGCCCTGGATCTCCACGATTGTATAAAATTCGTAGTCAGTTACCTCATTATTGATCTCACACAGCATTATCCTGAAGACAAACTGGAAAGGCTAGATTCACTACAGAAGCCAAAGACTTGCAATGAATCTCAGTATCATTACCTCACATACTTTTGCAACAGAATTCAAAATGTGCCTTGGCGGAAAATATTGCTTATCACTCTGGAAAGGCAAAGTTCCATGTTACTCAAGATAAAAATTCCTTTCTCTTGAAGGGGCCCTGAGCATTTGAAGTGAAGCAGCAAACAATAAAATGTTTACTCAATTTATATTCTACAAGGTACATTAAGGAATAGACCCTTATGGGCAGAGCTTAGAAAAACTATGTTAAAAGTTTCAGAGTAGGAAGTAATGTATTTTCAGTCCTAGTCATTAGCTTTTTTAGACAATATTTAGTCTCTAAAATGTGGAGAAAAGGCCTGTGTTTGTATTCAGTTCTGCTGCTGATCTCTGCTTCTTTCATAAGATATAGAACTTTCGGTCATATGAATGGATTCAATACTGTGCTTTGGTTTTCGATTTTATAGGGTCATCAAAAGACCTTTCTTTGATTTTGTTTTTCCCTAGATGCTGATGCTCTGCCTGTGTTCCCCCACAGGCCAGGCAGTTGATTTCTCTTAAAACGTGACACATCTAAAAGACAATAGCTGAGTTAATAAAATTTTCAAGTTAGAAATGTCACTATAAGCATGTGTTTCCATTCATAAGCTATGTCTTGAACACACACAAACTATCTTTTGTCATCTGGTTCTGTCCCATTTCAAAATTAGTCTCTGCTGTTAATTAGAAGTGACTACAATTTGATTAATCTCAAACATGTGTCACAGATAAACAATGTGGAGAACTGAATTCAGTATTTTTCCACTTAGAGTATGCATGATGTTCATGGAAAGAAGCCGAATGTATTTTTTAAAAAAATGAAATCTAATGTTAGCACCCTGAGAATATTGTCAGTGGAATACAGTCTGATTTATTTGAAGTATTAAACTCAGAGAAAAACCTAAGTATAAACAGTTTCTTTGGCTGAAAATGTAGACATTAAGAGACTTTCTCTCTCTTGCTGTTATACTTCTAAAACTCATTTCTTTACCTTAAGAGTCTGTTTCTTCACTTTGAGAATTCACTTGATCTTGGTCCTTGTTTGGTTTTTGCTGTAACTCTTTTGGCAAAAACTTCCAAATACCTGCAGACTCACAGGAGGCAAACCCATATTGACTTAGCTTAGAGAAAGGAAAGTTTCAATTAACAAGGGGAAAATGTCTCTTTGGCTTAATTTGAATGATCATTATTATTATAGGATATGTACTAAAACACTCATTTTTCCAAGTGCTAATTAAATTTCCATAAAGGCACTCAGCCTTTAACCAGATTATACAAGAAAAATTATATGATAAAGTAGTTGTGATTTAAGAAACAGTGATTCCGATTAGGTTTTTCTGTTCAACTTTCTAACAACAACAAAAAAAATGTTTTTCTTTCTTATTACACAGCCTGCAGTAATAAGTGAAATATAATCCTAATTAATTTTTCCTACAGCTGTGTATAAATCAATGGCTGCAACATCCCAAAGGAAACAAACACTGTGGCCATCCAGGTTCCTAATGAATGCAAATAGAATGACCTTTTTCTGACAACTATGAATACCATTCCACAATTTTACCATGAAAATCGCTGCTATCAGCAATTCATACAATAAACATGGAGACTACAATAGCTGTAAATAACTATTCATTATGGTAAGAAAGGAATGGGAGAAAAAAACCTAAGCCTAAATTATGCAACTTTTAAGCCCTTACCTGATTTTTATATTTCATTTTGATATGGAAATTCTGTCGCACAGGTAACCAGTCATCACTTTAATTCTTTCTCCTCTATTCCAGAAGAAAATAGACTAAAATAATTCAGTGTTTTATATTATTGAATTGAGAGATTCAAAGTTAAAATGCTTTTGTAAGGGAAGTAAAATCTCTCAATCAAGAATATAGTAAAGCTCTAAACACTGTATTCAGATAATTAGAAGACCATGATTAGAAATCCACCAGGGGAACGAGCATGCAGATGAATTTAAAAGCTATGAAAACAGATAATGACGTAAGGATGACACCTATGGGAACCTGAGGAAAGATAAGGAGTCATTCAACTGCATTATCGTCCATTTTGACCAAAGAACCACTTTATTTCAAAATACAATAAAACTACACGTGCTTATGCTTATACACAGTTTCCCACAAAACTCCATTATAGCCATGAAGATGTCTTGTTAAGTAGACGTTAAACTCAAATTTTATAAGAAAAGTAGTTAAATTTGTTAAACCTAATTTTGCTGCTCTCTATATATCCGTATACTGAACACTCCCGTTGTTTGCTAGAGCCGAGAATATAATTAGCCCCTAGAATTCAAATACTTTTTAAAAAGAAGACTCCCCAAACTGCAACAAGTTTCAAAAAAGGACTCGCATCAAGATTACTCCATTTCCGCAAAATTGCAAAAATACTTACTCCCTCTCCCTTATTCTATGATTAATTGTTATACCTCCATCCAGGACTGGAGATTATGATCACATAATTATTTGATATCCCAAATAGGTATTAATGACATGATTTAATGTAGAATATATTAATAGAGCAATCTGAATTTACTTTGGTAAATAGTTGGACTAGTTTTGTGTATAAAGCCAACTTCCTTTCAAAACATGAGCTATTTTAAACTCCATTCAAACACTTTCTTGAAACAGTTAAGAGAGCATTTCTGTGACTGGGGTTAGGCTGTATCAGGCATAGATGGTATTTTTTCCTGTATTAAACAATCTCCACTTGATGACATCTCCTGAAGATGTCTATGCTCTCACACCTGTAATGCTTTCATGTTCAGAATGAATCCCTGCTACCACTCACGCAGTATTGATCTCAAAGGCATTTCTCCCAATCCTCTTCCCAGTGTGGTCACTGAACAGTATCAGAGTTCAATAGGAAGATCAGCTGCTCATCCACTTTTTTGCTAAAGCAATTTGTATTATGGATTTATTTGAGCAGTCTACAGTGGCAGTTGCTGTTTTTACTATTTAAATGCTTTGATTATCCGACCTTGCTTACTTTATCTTTCTAAGTGCTATGCATGGGTTTTAAAATTGATCAATAAGTGGGGATTCCTCTACAGGATTATGTTGAAATCAATCTCAATTCAGACTTTTTGTATTTTATGTTTATTACTAGATCTGTCCTAATTGCATTCCTCATTTTGGTAAATAATTTTAAAACACATCCTTGATTACATAGGTAAGAGTCTTCTAAGACCCATACATTATAAAAATAACTTTTATTCTTTATACATCATTTTATTCATTCTTTTAATGTGAAGCAGGACAGCATTGATTCCTAGATATCTTATTCAAATATCTTTGCATTATAAATAAAAGAGCTATTTCATTAGAAGGAAAAAAATAGTTACATATATGCGAGCAACTGAAAAATCTTGAAATTCATTAATGGGCTATATTAATTGTGATACCTGTGGAACTTCAACAAGCACTACCTATACAAATATTTTGCATATATAAGTGTTTATAAGACTTTTAACAAAATAACATTCCATGGAAGAAGAATCAAAGTAAATTCTCAATATTTATATCTTTGAAAATCAATTGAAAAAGAGCTGTAAACTTGTTGAATATCAAAAAGATTAATATTCAATGTAATAAGAAAAATTTATCAGTTTCACACTCTCACTACTAAGATGGGATGTTTTACTCAATTTTTTTATTTTGGATTGAAAGAGAAGTAAATTAGAAGCTTAAAATGCTTTGAATACTTCTTAAATAAAATCTATGAATTTTAAAGCTAAATTCCCATATTATTTATTAATGATTTTGAATAAAAATAAACTCCTAAAATTAACTATATAAAGCATAAACATTATGAATTATCTTACATAACTGTTAAAACTTATGCTAAATATTTGGTCTAATTTAATCGTATTTCTGTGTGTAGTCCCATGAAGCTCCTGAATTTTACCTTTGGATCAATTTATCCTAACATTAGATTTTTCAAAGTCATAAATAAAAGAAACACATATATGAGTCAGAAAAAGGAATTGATGTCATCTGTTTTAATCCTATTTCAAATCCAATCTGATATCTAAATACCTCTGTCATCAACACTTACATAAAATTACAATGAAGTATTTTCCACATAAGTAAACAAAAGTATAAAAATCTGTGATTTGCTCCAGTAGCCAAAAATGCAAGCAGTAAAGCACCTGAGGTAAACAAACATATGATTAAACACAGAAAATGTGCAATATCTTCACCTGTGCAAATAAAACATGTTTTTGCTTAAATAATTTTAAAATCTTTCACAGGACTAGAGAATATCACATACATCTAACAGGTATATATTCACATTTTCGTACTTTGAAATTATTGGCCACAATAATTTAGCATTTAACAGCTTTCATTTCAGAGTACATTATAGCTGATTATTACAATAAGTTTTCTTCTGCTGCTCCAATTAAATAAGATGTGATGTATGAATGAATAAAAACAAAATCGTCACAAGATAGTTCACTTTAATAGTCACATGCATGAAGGTAGGTAGAAATATTAAGATTCCTAAACATGAAAAGAATGAGAAAAAGATGAAGAAGTTTAATTACCAAATATTTTGCCATAATGATGTTTCCAAAAACTCTTATAACCTGTGAATTCCTTTCTACTGTTTCTGGTAGAATAACACTTGAAGGAAATCATTTTCCAGAAAGTTTTGCATCTCTGTAGATCACAACCTTGGCAAGACATGTCCATACTTTTTTCCTCAAGTGGGTAAATATTAAGAGAGAAGAATCCAAGTTTCATGATGCAGCAACACAAAGCTGGGAAGTGAAAATTATGTTGCAACGGAGTCTTGAAAATATGACTGTAAAAGTTAATCAATAAAATGTCTATTCCTGTCTATTCACCGGAGGCCCCAGCTGCATAGCTGCACTCAATCGATACTACAAATTATTACGATTTCCAGGTTCCCACTGGACATTCAGAACAAATCTTTCAAGTGTAACAGGCTTATACCGAGTATATGGTGTGTGTTCTCCACATTTAGTTCAAAAAGAGGAGGGGAAAAATAAAATCTAAATCCTATGTGTTCTTTAAAAATTCAGCTTTATGGAACCAATAACTTACAGGTCGACTTTTAATGTTAAAAACATCTTTTCAATTGCCAAATTCTTTGCATGCTTCTTTTTTTAATTGTTCCATATTTAGTTCAGAAATGACTTAACCTAGCAATAGATTTTGGCGATATAGGAACCTGGCTAATTCTGAATGACTCTTCCAAAGTAAATGAATGAGAAAAATAATTATTTATCAAAAAATCACTTGGATATATTACCGCTATTAGAAAGGTAATTGCAGGACTCTGACAAATGTTTCACATTGTAGCAGATCCCTTAAAGCACACATTCTAGTTACTGTTTTTATGACTTATTCCAACACATTTTAAAAACCATGTTTGAGGTTTTCCATTTTTTCTATTTTTGTAAAACAAAGTCATAATTTCAGAAATGAGCTTCTCTTTTTCTGAAAAAAAATAAAAAGCCCCAGAGTGTTTTGTTCTAGTGAGATCCTCTGCTCTCTGCAGGAAAATTTGACTGTGATTACAAACTCTAGAAACTACTCAAGTCTTTGGCCTTAGCATTATGATCTGTACATTTCATTCCCGCATCTCTTAGTCAAAATCCAAAGACATTTCCAAATAAAGGGATGACTGGTTAAGGGAACTAACTGAAATGCTTTCATGACTTATGACTCCTAAAGTGGCCTTTCTGTCTACTGATTGGTGCACACTATGGTGTCTGGCACCCCCCAAGACCAAATCAATTGGTAAACTTGATCAATTCATGCCACCTGTCGATCAAGTGGGAAAAAATAAAAATAAACAGAATTTTTTGTTTGCTAGGCCAAAAAGAGTTTGATATTTATTTGACATTAAAACAATAGCATATTTTTTCACATATCACAGAAAACATATAGACACATATACCTAGCATGTAGGCATATCCTACATTGAGGCTACATTTTAAAAGAAAGACAAACTTGCTTCTCTTAAGAAACTATCATTGTTTTGATTATGATCACTTATCAGTCTCTTTAAAATTTAACAACATTTTCTTATGTCTTAATATTTCTGTTTTGTGACTTTTAAGATAGCTAATTACTAAAAACAGTTGCAAACAGTTAGACTTCAAAAAAATTTTGTTCCAGTTTTAACTGCTCTCTTAGATGGCATTTGTAGCCCTTGCCAGCATTTTCACATTGAGAGAGAATATCCTACTTAATACATGATCAAGCTGTATTGGAAGATAAAATAGATAAAGATAGATCAAACGTACAGAACCTTGATTTTTTTTTTATTGTAATTTAACTCAGTGAATCACTGTCTGGTTTATTTACTCATAAAATTCTGAAAGCAGATTTTTGCATGCCAGTTTTCAGAGCAGAAATGATATTTTTCGTAGGTATACTGAAAAAATGTGCCTTTATAGTAATGTTTAACTGTAGGAAAAAGATGTTAGCATTATTTTAATAAAAATAAGTTAACATAAACACTATCATTAGTTTTAGATTAATGCTCACTACAATTTTATATATTCCTATTTAAATATCTCTTAAGCATTTGATTCCCCTAATATAATTTTGCTTTTTAAAAGACCATAATATTTATAACAATAGTACATTACTATAGCCATTCCCAAAGAAACTTTGCCCGATATGCTTTTAATCCTTGGTACCGATTTCTACTCTTTAATATTTGTTAAATGTGGCTTTTTTGTTGTCTGAGTTCTGGCATCTGACTAAAGGTACATTAATGGCAAACACAGTTTATCTGACTGTTTAATTTTATTAAGGAAACACATAAAATGTCATCCTATGTTTTATAATTATTTTTAATACCTTGTAATATTAAATCATTGGATTAAAACTGAAATACATTACTCGTGAATAAACTTCAAAACTTTTACTTTTACATTTGTATATTACTAGCTATAAACTATAAATCCAAAAAGAATTCTGTTTATCATTTGCAATATTTTGAAATCCTCTTGATAGACATATCAAGATTCACAGTAGTGGAAGTTTAGATTTGTACTTTCAAAGATCAAATCAAATATTTGTTAATAGAAATACACATTTTCATTTTGGCCTCAGGACTGTGTTCAAAGTTATGAGTGACAAGGGAAAAAAAGAGTTTAGAGGTGTGTGCTTTATCTTACTGCGATTACTCAATGTAAGCAAAGTTCAATGAGTAAAGTGTAATTCTTAACAAATAGAGAGAGAGAGACAGAGAGAGAAAGAGAAAGATTCACTTGGGCTATGATACTCTCATCATTATTTTTAAAAACAGACTAAGAAAATAAAGCAAAAGACAGAGAAGACAGAATACTTAATTATCAGAACACACACACAAAAAGAAACTATTTAATGTGTATTTGAAAAGTAAATGACAAAATCTGAAAACACTGCATGGATATGGTAATTATATAAAGATTTAGATAATAAAAACAGAAATCAAATACTAGATGTTTCACTAAGAACCACTTGCAGGAATGTTTCAAAACAACCCAGGTCTGTATGAGTTTTCTTCATAGTTCCTTACATGCCTCAATGGCTTGAACAAAAATTTCTACTCTAAATGTCTCTCAATTTAATAGTGTCTTGCTTAGAGCTGCTACTTTAACAAAAAAGAAAGGCAACAAGAGCCATATGTAACCTTTGGACTCCAGAAGGAGAAAGAAGAGAATGCCATTGGCAGATAGGTGCTACAGAAACACAGTGTATCCTTTCCCTTGAACCCTACCTTGAACATTTCTTGATAGTTAACAAGAAGGTTGCCCACCACATCATTATTTAGATTCTGGACTAGGACAGTCACCGTTTTCAACACATGCTGTCTCAGTTCAGAAATGCTGCAAAGTTAACGTTTATCTATTTTGGAAGCAACAATTGATTGAACAAGGTAGCATATTTACACATCCCCTTTTGCAAGACAGAGAGAATGAAACATTTAGCATCTAAAGTCAAAAGGACTGACTTGATTTCGGTTTGTAAAGTAAAACTTTCTGAAATACTAAAAAAAAAAAAAAGGACTCACTTGTAATCATTTTTTTCTTCTTCAGAAGCAATAATCCCTTCTGTCACTGTCTTCAGCTCTGCCTGGGTTTTCTACTGTTCTGTTCTTGGCGAACTGTTTCTGTTATTTGCTCAGTTTAGCTGCTCTTGAGTAGCTTTCAAGCTGGATTCCATTAGAAGAAGTTTTTCATCTTGACTGGCAAGTTCTTGGGCTGAAAGATAAAACAAGAACATTGCCTTTTTAAAAACCAAGCTAATGTGTGCGTGTGTGTGTTTTTTTCTTTTGTTTTTGGTTTAAATGTTATGCAGTGCAACTTTGAGAAAGATTTAAACAGATCCTTCTTGTCCAAACACAAGCTCCTGCATTCAAATTTTCGGATTCCTCTATCGAAAGCACAAGAAAACAAAGGTATGAATGAAGAAATACAAGGTGCGTGTCAGTAATCTCAAGTTTATAAAACGTTTGAATCCAAAAGTTAGATGTCTTAATCGGAGCAGTTCCCTGAGTTTATTTGTGCGAATTCTGCTGCTACATAATGTATTATAAAAGAAAAACGTTATTATGTAGTATTCTTGTTCTTTCTTTAGTCTAGGTCTCAGACATATGTAAATATATTCACATAGACAAAGACTGGTATATTATAAATTATGCCAAAATGTTGGCTCTCCACTGATGTATTTTCATGTATATTATTTATGAAATTTAAATACTTTCAAGGTCATCCAATAGATGGCACTCTTTCATTAGACCAAAGCGGACTCAGGCCGTATGCTTCAAGCTCTCAAAAAATAAGTGATTTAAGACAAAGACATTTTTCCTTTGTTCTTTGTTGACTGTATTCCTAGAGATATATATCTGTATATTTTGTTTGAATATTTCCACTTTATAAAAGTGTTTATCTGGTTTTTTTTTCCCAATTGCCTCAATAACATGTCATAAACTGTAAATGTTATCAGGCTTTTAATTTTATTTTTAATCACAGGTTTGGGTATATATTTATATACATTATGCTGTATAGTACATTTTGGAGGCATTCTTAAATATAACTAGATTTTATATAATCCATTGCATTGAAGATCGTATTTTATGAAAATCAGTCATTTCAATCTGGCAGTCCAAATGAATTAAAAAAAGAAGTAATTTTAGGATCTTCAAATCAATCTAAATAGAAATGGAGAAGGCCATATTTTTATTAAAAAGTCATCTTCCCTTTTAATGAGTCTCTTTTTATGTCCAAAAAATGGTGTTTATATTAAGCTTCAATAAAGTTGGAAACCAAGGTATTAATTAGTCTTACATCAGATGTATCTTTTACAGGCAATCCCATAAAGAAGAAACTCTATATAAATATTCTGCATTTATCACTCATCTTTGAAGTTGAATGATATCTCCCTTATAAATTAGATCTAAGAATATCTGATTCTCCGTTTTTTGTTTATAGATTTTGAGCAGCTGAGTGCTTATCTTTTAATAAATATGTGCATACATGTTTGCTTTGTTTCCTTGCAAGTATTCAAAATGACCAGTTTTGCCTCAGAAGAAATTACAGCATCTACTATTTTTATAGCTTAAACCTGCTATATATTAACAGTTTAAATTTGTGCCTCAGGAAACCACAGAGCTAAGGCAAACAGCTAAATATTTAACAAGGAAAAATGCATCACCCAGAGCTCATCTTTATTAAATTCCAAATACATCGAAATCTCACTGAACAAATGAGTTAAATGTTTAATAATTTCAACACATGTTAAAATGTAGGGGGGGGAAATCCAATAAAGAACTTACAAGTTTGCTTTCAGAATTAAAAAAGAAATTCTTCAAGCTTAAAATATGTAAAGGCGCTGTAGCCTTTCCCGGCTGACCAGTAAGAAATGTAATGAAGTGAAAACCATCAATATTTTTATAGTGATATGTTTTTAGCATGGTTAATGTAGTTGCATAAATAAAGTGCAATTTTTCATTTTATCTGCTTTTTCACTTTTCCCAGTGTATCTATTTCTTATGGAAAAATACCTAATACCAAAACTTTTTAAATGAGATTAAGGAGAATTTTCAGACATTGACATGGAGAGGTTAATGGTCTTCAAGTTAAAAGAAGGGATTTTGACAATCAGACCGCATACGAACGACTATGAATATCAGAAAGTTTCGGGAAGTTTCTTTTTTGAAGAACCTACTTGTACCAATAGACTGACTTTGAGATTACTTGAGTCCACTTGTGGCCCATACACAAAAAAGACCTTTTATCAACGCTGTATGATGTGAATTTTCTATGAAGTTTGCCATTTCAAAATGACTAAGAGATTTATGCCTCGCGGTACTCCTAAGAGTCTCCTCTAATTCATTATGTGCTGGTTAAAAAAGGGTAAATTATTTTCAGTTTACCTATGCCTTGGACTTGAGCCTGAGTTGATCCCAAGCCAGAGGCACTCGCAGCTGCATGCTTTATTTACAATCCCTTTGTCAGACTTACAACTGCCCCAGGCTATAACATAGTGTACCTAATGTTCAAACTGGCAGGTAATCTTATGTCAAACATACTTCTTTGATTTAAAGTGATCAATAGATTCTTGTAAAGAGGTAATTTCTCTGATGTTTCCACCTTGCCTTTTTTACAGGTGATTCACACAAAAGCCTGCTTATATGATGTACGAACAATAAACAGAAAGCTATAATCATGTTTTTTCAGATGTTTCCGGTGCACAACGATTTTGGATCGATACACTGTGTAATACAATTATCTGCAATGATCTGGTTGTATTGAAAAAGAATTTGCAGGAGACCTCTAGGGGCTTTTATCCAGAAACACGTATCTGGCAACGTTGTGAATAGTGGAAGGAAAAATTAAGGGGCTGTCTATTATGTACCCAATGACTTCATTCATATTTTATTTCATAAAAGCATTAGACAACAAAGTTTAGTCAAACAATAGCTTAAAGGTAATAATAATGATGATAATGCTCATAGCCTCATACTATTTATTTATATAGGAAAAAAAACCCTCACAAACATACAGACTTTTAACTTTAGAGATTCCGTGTTGTGTGAGTATTATGAACCACAGATTATAAGAAATATTGATTACTTATTTACACTATGAGTTTATTTCTGTCTTATCTAAGTTATGGAAATGCTAGCATCTGTGAAACACTTTGCTATCCAATTACTTTTTTTTTTCCGCTATAATGGTAAGATTCTAGACTATCAATTTGAACTGTTTAAGAACACTGTACCACAAGCCTTTTATTTCAAACTTTTTTTTTTCCAAATGAAGATTTGCAACATCAGGAAAAATGCTAAACTATAAAGTCTGTATCCAAAAGACATTACACATTTTCTGCAGAGAAACAACTCAGTTTTGTTTTTTATGGTTCTCCGGAAGAGGCTGACTCTTCGCAGCGTCTACCTCAAAGCCTGAAAAGAGCCACGTTTTCTATTTTGAGCCTCTAATCATATACCCAGAACATGAAATTCTCTCTTGTCAGGCTAGAAGTGATTCCCATTCTGGTGAAGCTCACAATTTGGGGTACACTGGTTCACCTCACAAAGCCCTGCTCGACGCAGTTTCTGCAGGTCCGCATGTGGCTGCTGCAGACTGGCTCAGACTGGGGAGATTGCTCTTTCCGATGCTTCTCTCCCTGTAGATCCTGGATTTTCTTTCAGTCTCTTGACCACACTGTCCAGGCACCTCATCTTACCCACTTTGACTTTGATGGCTTCGTGCACCTGCAGGAGACCAGCTTCTGACTTTCTTAGAAAGTCCTATTTTTTTGTGTGTATTGCCTGTGAAGACAAAAAGCATTCCAATAGTGCCTTTTATGATGGACTTTTTATATTGCATCCTGCTATTTTGAGCTATAGGATACTGCAGATTATGAAACCCCTCATTAGCAACTGGGTCAAGTATCACATCTTTTCTAGGATTAAAACCTTAAAAGGATTTTTGTTTAAAAAAAAGAAAAAGAAAAGAGGAGAAAAAGAAAAAGAAAAAAAGTCAGTTGGAAGGAAGATTCACCCACGGTTAGCCTAATGCAGTGTTAATCAGTACATAAAGGTTCAAAGACTAAAAGAATAATATTTCCCATAATTCTTAGGGAATTAAAAAGGAAGCTAGTTAGATCAAAATGAATTCTTTCTCTTTAAACTGTGAAGAAGAATTTAATGAATACTAAAAGTGCATTTAATCTCTTGGCATTAACACCTATATGTATAGCTGTTTCATTTAGCTCTAAAGCAAACTACACTAATGTGACACACAGGGAAATCCCTTCACCATAAAGATAATGATGGTACCTCCTAATGATTTCACACCACTTAAACTAATTAGCTTTATAAGAACACAATGTTTGTCACTTTCTTTTTCGGTTTTACTATCTTTCTAACACACCATGTCTCAACTTTAAATTTGAGTGAGGAGAGACATGAAATATGTGAAGACTACGATGATAAATGAATGTACCTCCTTAAAAGAAAATTCACCAAACTTTCCTGGTGCTCTTCTCATATCCATCGATATGGTATTCCTGGCTGCTTTTTTTTTTTTTTAATTGGCTCCCTGCCACACCTTGACTCTCTATCATGCTCCATCATGCTTTCTTTTAATCTGAATATTTAGTGTTCTTTCATGTCTTAATTACAGCAAATTGCAGCACAGTTGGCACCATTTCTTGAAATTAATCCCAGAGTACTTTGTTTCTGTCAAGCAGTCAAAGCCTTGGAGAATAATAGTAAATGTTATTGCAGATCTAAATTTAAATGACTGTCTATGTATTTAACTTAAGCCTTTAATTATTCGTGCCGAACTGTTTTTGGTTCAAATGTTAAACATTATTCATTGAGAATGTAGAATTACTTTAGACAGCTTAAAACCTGCAGACATGTTTGGCTGTAATTTTAGCACAACAATTATTTATATTAACATATTTTCTCAGGTGTATAAAGCTTAGCAAATGGCGTGTGATATCTTCTTATGGATAGGTATTTCAACATTCCATTACTTCTGTCATTATTAATAAAAGGTGTGGATTTAGGTTCATTTGATTCTAAATGGCTTTTTCCTAACCGATTGTTAAATTATAAACCCAACACAAGAATGATTTGGTATTATTATTGCTAATACTCTTTAAGCAATTCAGTATAATGAATCACTTTGAAAGTTCTCACAAATGTAAAAGTGATATTGGTTGGTTGGTTGGTTTTTCTATGGAAAATTTACAAGTCCTGGAAC